GCGTTTGGTCTTTGCTCACTGAGTTTCCTGTTTGTTTGAAGGGAGATCTTCAATGAACTGCTAGAAACAGAAAAGAGCGCTCAGGCGCTCGGCGTGGACGCGGGAAGGGCCGCTCGCCAGGCCTCGTAGGAGCAGGCTCCTGGCCGGCGGTGCGCACCGCGTGTTCCCTACTGCCGCCCGCCTCGCCTTCCTCTGCCTGCGGAGAGTTTGGAACTCGACTTGATGCGGGAGCAACAAACAGCTCAGGGCCAAACCAAAAGACGAGAACTGCAGTTATGCGGAATGCTCCGTGCTAATTGTTCTGTGGAGACTTTGGTCTCACGTCTGTAGCCGATTATCCTCCTTTTCTCCTGCAAGAGTGGCGCTTCCTTTTGTCTTAGGAATACATGTTGTAAATATATATATATGTACACACACACACACGTGGAATGAATGGAGCCTTAAAGAGTCAGGATGAGCCGCCAGAGTATGCTTGCTCAAAACTAATAGCACAGCAGTTTGGAGAAGAAATGAAGTTGCCAGAGTCTGTTCACCTGAGAAACGCGTGAAGATGTACATATCAGTTGGCATTTAGCTCTATGTTCCTTGAGCAGTTTCACTCCAGTCTGTAATCTTTCATGTGTGTTTCTTATTAGTAAAGTTCACTGGAAAGCGAGCTCTCCATGTTACACTAATGACAGTTTGTCCTCCTTGCAAAGGGCGGGCATTTCTGCCACCTGACTTGAGGAGCTTTTTTAAAAAAAATTATTTGATGAATTTGTAATGCTTTTCCCGTTTACATGCAGTCCCAAGAAAAGGATTGTTGGTGCTTTGGAATGTGTTATGGTCCCACATTTGGTAGTCATTGTATACTTTGTATTTTCTTTAAAGAGATTCCTTCACACAGTATGTTCATTGTATATCATCTGTATTACTTTGGTGGTGAAGACAGAATCTTTTACTTTTCTTCTCTATCATTCTTACATGGAGCAAGCATTACCCTAACAGATTACAACCAAAACTTCAAGAGGTAGGAAAATAATATTGTCCCAGTTGGGATTCCCCAGCAAGGATACTTAGGGATAAGGAAGAAAGCCAGCATCTCTGTCTCTCAAATAGAGAGAGGTCAAGAGGAGTATTCCTGCATTAAAGCTAAAACTCTGGACCACTAAAGCTGAAAGCCCTACTACAGGTGTGAAATTAAGTACGTGAACTATAGGATGAAGCTTGAACATTTAACTGTTTGCTTTCTGGCTTTGCCCTTAAAACAGGGTGGCAATTAAAATATGGTTAGTTTAGGTAATTTCAAGAACTAACAAATAACAAAGGTGCATAATATATTTATCTTCCTTTTTAGGTGCTTTGAATTGAGGCTGAATGGGGGTGCTACACTAGTCACTCAGCTGCCATTATTAACCAGCTTGGTTAAGCAGGTCATGAAACCATATAAAGAACAAGTTTGAGAGTAGAAGTCAGTCCACACAATAATTTGGTGAGCCCAGGAATCATTAAGGTCACACAGAGTTAAGTATAGCAAAATGAAACCTTCAACATTTTCTTTCTTTTTCTTGCTTTTATTATAAACAAGGAAATTACTCTTTGGTTCTGAGGTAGGGACAAAACCACATCAGGTTTTCAAGGGGAGAAAACATTTTAAAGTCCATTGTCACAGAAGATGCAACATCTTTTCTGGAAGATCCCCTTGAGAGAGCTCAAGCCCCACTCTTGAAACTTGGATCTGTTCTGACAGAGTAACATATTCTAAAATTTTGAATCTTTGAATTCTAAATGGTCCTGGCACTTTTGCTTAACTGCTGATAAAATCTTTGCCTCTTTCTATTTACCTACATTATTACTATACTGAACGTTCCACAATGGCACAGTGGTAGGATATGCAGGAGTAGTATAGAGCAGAGGAAAATATTTGTTTTAAAAACTAGCTTTTTGGGGGGTTTTTTTTGTTTTGCTTGAAAATAACTGGTTTTCTCATAAATGAGTGAAGTGGTGATCAAAATTCTTTAGCTATTTATTACTTCTCTTCCCTGTGTCTGTATTTCAGAGCTTTGAGAGGCACTGGTAAAAATGATTGGTAATGATTTGAAGTGAGGGGTGCATTAGGGCATTACAAAAACAAATAATGCCGTGAGCCTGGCTTGCCCGGGAGGTACCCTCATTTGACTTGCTTTTTGTAGCGTGTGTGTGTGTGTGCTTCAGAAGTGCATTAGCCTCAGAAACCTAATTTGATTTGATCTTCATGTGTTGAGCAGGACCTGTGAGCTGTAAACAGGTTATTGGGACGGATGAATTACCTCACTGCTCACATACTTTCAAGTGTAGGACTTCAATTTTCCTCGATTTCTGTCCATCGTTGTGGCCGGGTCAGCCTTCCTCCCTCCCTTCCCTCCTTTCGCTATTCCCCCTTTCACTACAAAGGTACTTTCTCATTTTGGCTCAATGAAGGGTTAATGACTACAGATGGAGATTTTAGCTGGACTATGTTGATGAGGTTTGTTGTTTTTTTGAGCTGACTGTATATGTTTGAAAATTATAAGTTGATAATATAATTTTTTGTGCATATAATCAGTTTACTCAGAATCACGGGGACGGGGCATTTGGCATGTTGGGGCCAGGAAGGGACAAGTTAGATAGGGACAGAGAGCTTTAGTCCCCAGCAGCCTGCACAATAACTAAACTTCCAATCGCGAATACCCAATGTCGTTATATTATTTTAAATGACATCGAATTGGAACTTCACAGCACTTAGTTCTGCACACAACTGATCTTAATTGGAATTTTTTGGGAGAGAAAACTAAATTAAAATTCAAGCTTGTTGATTCTTACCACCTGATGCTATTATGGAGAATTGGAAAGTTGCATATGGCTGGATGTTGTTATCCCTCTAGTAGCCATGATTATAATTTAGGCCTATGAGGGGATAGATTCTGTTTGTAGGGAATATATTTATGTGTGTATGCACACTCTTAAGTTTTGTCTCAGCGGGATAGAATAAGAAGAAAATCTATGAATTATTCTTCTGTTTGTATTTTGATTCCAAAGCTATTTGTTTACTTGCCATGGTCTGTTAATTTCAGGCCTAACTTAATGGCTCAATAACAAATGTAACAAATGTATGTGTTTACATTTTAAGAAGTATGCAGTGATATTTAAACATCAGTTCATTAACTCTGGGAGACAAACGTTAGACTACGCATTTCCGTATTCCTCTTCTTGATCGAGTGTAAAATTCTTCTAAAAGAGCAGCTTTAAGAATTAAAGCCTCAGCAAGTGAATTCATGAATTTACTTGTTCTTTCATACTGCAGTTAGCACTGTGTAACTCTGTAAACATCTCTGCGCACGTGTACAGCTACAGATAGAGTTCTATAAGGAAAATTATTTGGAAACACCTAAACTAAAGAGATTGTTGGCAGTGTCTCATATGTAGTTGAAAGCATCGGGGGGTTGGAAACTCATCTGTGATCCACTGAAAAGGATTATAGTGAGACTAATAAAAATGTTCCCTGTCCCCCTTTCTTCTCTGCGCTGTGGTGACTGCAGTCATGCTCCTAGTCACCCAGCCTTTGGTTTGCCCTGTTTGATTTAATCGACCCCTTTGGTGGTCTTTTGTTTTAAAACAGAGCTGGATCTCCAGGTCCACGTGGACCTTGTGTATATATGGAGATTTTTGGGAAAATCACCAACAACCCAGTACCAGATGCATGGCACTTAAAATTGTCCCCCCAAAACAGGTGGGTCCTTTTCCTCCTCCTCATCTTGCTTTACACTGAGTAATGCTCTCTTTAAGTGTGACAAAAACTAAACAGATTTCTGCCCTCTAACATCTAATGCATTACTTCAAAATTCTAATTTTGTCTTTATTGATGTCTTATTAACATCTGAAAATATATATATTTTTGGTTGGCAAACTATAGTTTGTTAGGTCTTGTGAGTTTTGTGCCAGAATTCTTTTGCTGTGTCTCACCACAGTCATTGCCTCCTTTATGGCATGCTTTGAATACGAGACTTCAGGCAGTCTCTTTCGTGGTATCATAGTTACACACTATTAGTAAATTTTCCTTTTCATATGCTGTCTGTGTCTGAGGTTTTGAAGTTTTTAATAAAAAGTGTGCCAGTATGAATATAAGTGTTGATTATAGTGACATTGGACTGAAGTACAGAGGTTTGAAGTATAGGCATGTCCACTGGCATAAGAATAGATTGGCTGAGGGTCTGGGTGTGAACCCAAGTTTGTTAGGTCTAACGCCGAAACAAGAGACTGAGCAGCCGACTGAAGTGGTCTATTTTGAGAGCAGAGGGAATGTGCAGAGTGAGCCGCGTGTGGTGCACACACCTGGTCCCCTGGTTTCCCTGCCTCTGAGCTTCTCCTTCCATCCCCGACTTTTCTGGCCCCTTGTCAGTGTTGTTTATTTATGCTACGGAGGGGAAAACAGAAGCAAGCTTCCTACACTTGGCCTAATTGAGGCACTACCAGGTTTAGTGGCAGCTTTGGCCATATTATTTTGTGAGGTGATTCCTTTCTTTGCGTTCAGAGTGACTTTTGGTTCTGATTCTTTATGTTGTTTTGTATGGAGCGGCACTTTATCTGTGTTTTAGCAGAACTGTTCCTCTGTATCCTTTACGGTTTTTTCCTTGTTTTTGTTTCCTTTTTAAATTATGCATAGAGTTTTTTTGTGTGTGAAATTAAAGCCTTTATTAACCTTGCGTTGGTTTGACTATTATTTCTGAAAAGGACATATTCTCGCAGACACTTAACCAGTTGTGGAAGTTTGGAAAGCACCTTCTGTTGGCTTTCTGACTCGGACTTCCGTGCAGCACCGTTCCACCGTAAAGGATGTGGATGGCAAAGCAACGCATGGCCTTGGGCAGCACCGAGTTCCCTTGTGTTCGGCCGGGGAGCCTGTGAAGCTTTGCAGAGCTTCTGGATAAGTTTGCAAACCCAGCATTGGCCTTAACTCTGCTCTTCCTTTTCTTCCTTTGCCTTCTTATTAAGAGCGGGGGGGGGGGGGGGGGGGGGGGGTTTGAAATAGCATTTGCATTTCCTACTTGCCTTTAGGCCTCAAGCCTAGACCCAGCGGATACGTTACCGTTGCCCTCGCTGGGTACTGGTTAGCCAGTACGGTGAAACCACCTACTAGGGAGATCTCCTAGGCCATTCAGCTCCCTTTCCAAGGAGAGATCCCCTTTAACATATCCCGACAGGGCAGTGAGGAAGGCTTGTGTGGAAAGGAAAAGCCATCACTCTGGGAAGGATGTAAAACTGCAGAATGCTTCAACCTACCTGCCACAGATAAAACCGAGCCGTGATAAAGAAAAGCCCGGGAAAGGCTCCTCTCAGAACTCATGTTCTGTGCAGTGTTTGACTGCTCTTCTAAGAAGGGTAAGCTCTAGAACAGGATAGTTAAAAGTGATGCAACACCCCAGGCTAGAAACAATTGGGACCGCCTTGAGAGCTGAAATTGGGACCACAGGCGCCGTACGGAGGCGTCTTCTTTCTAGAGAAATAGGTAAGTGACTAAACAAAGTGACATTGCCGCTGCTGCTCACAGGTGCAACTGTAAAATTTCACTTCAATTAATTCCAGTAATTGTAATTCCAGTAGGATTAATTCCAGTAATAAAAACAAAAGGAAACTGCAAGCAGGCAAGGGTTCTGCTTCAAGGCCACAGCTACCCCTGCTTCTCAAAATAGTCCCTTTTCTTTCTTGAGGCTTTGTTGCTTCCAACGAGGCAGGGAAGAGAAGGCAGCTGGAGTCATCCCCAAGGCGTCAGTGAAATCCTCCACGGACAGGTGCTCCTAAAAGAGAATAGGGGTGGAGAGCAAAGGTCACAGTCACCCAGGGTTTCCTTTGATGAGTCATAGAAGTGTGGTATGGAAAGCAAATGAGCAAATACAGGCAATGTTGGGAGAGCCAAGAAAGCAATGGGGTGGGGGGCCATTTTGAGGCTCGAGATTTGATCCCTGAATTTGGAACGCATGAAAAGCACCGGCACAGCGTGAGGTCGATTGAGCTTTTCTTTTGACCAGGGTCAAGTTCACACTAGCCCTGGAATAAGAATTAGGACATTTGACTTAGCTTGGTTAAGGAGTTGCTTCTCTTTCCAGGTCTTAGTTTTCCTCTATAAAATGGGAGAATTTCTTAAAGGCCAATTTTTGCACCTTCATAATGCTTTTATGGGGATGAAAATACTACTATACATGAAAGAGCATGGGAAACAATATCTTGTTCATCTGTCTTCACTTATCAAACAGTGACCCTCAGCTAGGGGACCCTTTTTCCCATAAGCCTGGCCCAGAGAGTAAGCGGATGAGCGCTAGAAGGCCATCTGCCCAAGTCTGACAGTGTAAAGACTACGCTGCTGCTGTTAGCACAGGAGACAGCGCTCTTCCAGCAAGCGCCCACCATCCCCGCGAGGCGCTCTCTCCTGGGGACTCCCTTGCTTTGGATCGAGTTAGCAGGCTGGCCGCAAGGGAAGTAGGGCGCCCCCAGCGCTAACTGACAGAGCCAGCAGCAGTCTCACTTAGGGGTACTGCTGTAGCACTCTGAGGCGGATTCGAATACTCCCATTTTCAGGCGATGAAGCTAAAGTTCAGGGGAGTTAGGGTCATCTGATTCCATTCCGTGCTCCACCGCACCACCTGCCCCGCTTCCTTGAGTGATTTTGGGGATACTGTAAAGGCTTCTGTTATCTTTCCCTCCCCTACTTTAAAGTATGCTATTGTGCTTACAGATGTCTGAATGTTCCCATTAGAGACATCTTCATCCCTCTTGGCTTACAGGTTTGTTCCTGGTTGAAAGGCAACCTGCTAAACCTCGTCAGTCTTATATTCCACTGTATCACCTGGATTATTCTGTAGAAGCAGATTTTGCTTACAGCTGGTGGCAGGTGGCAGCAGAGGTACAAGCAGCTGAGGGGAGGGGAAAGATTCTAAGAGGAGAAGCTAGGCAAGCCAAAGAACAAATTCAGAGTCAAATTTCACCTAGCTATTTTGAGTGGAAAACGAAATATTTGAATAAATGACTTGTACTGGCTTCTCTCGTCCTATGAATGATCTAGAAGATTAAATAGCACAATTCTACATTTTTACTCTTGGCTTGGAAACACAACCATGAGTCATCTTTCTAGGCCTTGGGTATCTTCAGCCATAAGATGAGAGGATTGCCTGAAATGACCTTTACTCCCAGCTAACGTGATATGATAGTGATACTGTTCAAGGCAAGCTGAATACCCCCGAGGCACACTCAAGTAAGAACCCCCAAACTAAAGTTTTATAAAACGGCATCTCCCAGCCTTCATCTCTGCTCTCCTAGGCACCAGGAATGGCCAGGGGGGTGGGATGAGAGCTCTGGGTTTCTTTTCAATCTTACACTACTCTGCAGCGTGGAGTGGCCCTGGAGAGCGTTTTGCTGACTCCCGCAGAGAGCCCTGAACTGAACAGCTCCTTGGGAAACTCCTGTAGGTGGATTTCCAGCTCAGGTGGGTCCCATGCCCCAGTTCTCTAACCTGTCATTCGATTTGCCTACCACCCCGGGGCATTCTCTCAAGGCTCCTGGGAGCCCTCCCCACTCCTCTAGGCAGGGCAGTAGAACACCTTGTTTTGGGAGAAGAGAGTACATATGAGTGATTTGGGCACCCATGGGTGGGGAAGAGCTGCCTACTCCAAGTCCGGTGGTAGCATCCTGCTCTCCCACCAGGTCCCTCACAGGTGTGGCTGCAGTGTCCTTGGCCTGCAAGTGTCTTGGGGTGCCTTCCCTGGCCCAGCCAGCCTGGCTCCACAGCTTGGTCAAGACTCTGGACTCTGAACCCCAGGCTAGATAGCAGGGACTGCCCATCCCAGTGGACTTGTATCTTTCTACTGGCCCTGTACTTGAACCCTGTGGCCCTGCCAGCTGATTATCAGCCTCACCCATACCCACATCCGCCTCTCTGTGGTTTACTCATTGGTGCACAAACACTAAGATTACCCTCTTTCTATTGCCTGCAGCCAGACCCACCACCCTACTGTTCGATGTCACTGGCTCCCCTTCCAAATTTGGAGCAGCCAGAGAGGTCTGTTCTCCCACCCTCCCCACTTGCCATCAAACCTACCGCTCTCCTGCAAGAATGTACCCTACTCCCAGGATAAAAAATCGGCGACAACTGACTGAAAAAAAGATCTAAGACTTCTTAGGCTGCTTCTACCATGGTAGGGCTGTCTTGATTCTATTTATTCCATTCAAAATTAGCAATCCACTTGGGCTCCTGTCAATCATCTGGTTCAATAACATTGGCTGCCCTTCCCTTTCTATATGCCACACGATACAATGGTGACAGCGAGACTCAGAAGACTTGGTTTTGCTCTGACTTTGCTACTAATTGGTTATGTCACATTAGACAAGTCACTTATCCTCTGTGGACCTGAGTTTTCTCAGGAGTAGAACAGGCAATGATAATAACAGCTGACATTTAGAGAGCACTTTCTCTGTGCCAGGGGCTGGGCAAATAATAATATCCATAATATTATGATGACAAATAATACATTAGGAGCATCCCAGTATAACAGTGAGGACACAGATGGGCAGATCTGGAAGAGAAATGCATGAAAGTGGCTCCAAAGTGAAGGGCAGGATGCAAATGCTCTGGGAACAACACACCTAGACATATGTGGGGCCCAAACCCCTAACAGACTTAGATGCTCTTGGAGAAATTGGGCACCTCTCCTCTGTAGATTCCTTAATTCATTTATAAGACTACTTTATGGTTTCTTTAGAGGGTAAGTTTTCTCTCAATACCACATCAAGCTAGATTTGCAGTCTATTTTGGATCTTCATGAAGTGGGAATGAACATTAGAAATGTGTTTTTAACAAGCTCTTCTTGTCAAACTCTCTCCCCTAATGTGATCCATGCAGACATTTCAACCTGGGTGTGTCCCGGCTGCCTCAAACCACATAGCCACCACTAACCTCACGATCATCCCCGTCTAAGTTCATTCTGACCCAGGGCTTTTTGTCTCAAGAATGACACAATTTTCTCTGCTGTCGTACCCTTTATCCAGTAATTACCAAGTGTCATTGATTTTGCCTGCTAAATATTTCTCTAAACCATCTCCTCTGCACTTCCCCTGCTCCAGCTACCCAGGCTCCATCTCCCTCAGCCTGACAAGCTGCTGCTTTTGCCACCTTCCAGTCCGTTCCTCACTGAGCAGCTATAGTGATCTTTTAACAGCGTAAACCTGACCGCCACTCCCTTGCTTCAACCATGATGGCTCCCCTCCCCTCTTAGGATAGGCAACACCATCCCTAATGTGGCGTGAAGGCACTGCTCAGTTCAGCCCCTGCCCCTCTGGCCAGCAGCCCCTCCCCAGCTCCGCCACCACCACCCTGCTGGTCGCCTTGCTGGTTCACTCCACGCTTTGCTTGTTCCTAGCCTCTGGGCTTCGTGTATGCTGTTCCCTTCTCCAGGAATAACTTGTTCTGCCTGAAGAGCTCCTGTTCACCTTTCAGAAGGAAGTCTCTGACTAAATCAGGTTCGTCGTCCTCCTCCTCAAGTCTCACCCACCTCCTTCCTGCTGGGGTCCACGCCCTCAGGGAGCTCCTCCGCAGTCTTGTTCATCAGCTGCTCCAGGGGAAAGATGGGGAGGGGCCCAGAACTGAGATTGCTGTTAGCTTTGAACACGTTCGGTTTAGGGTTTGTGATCTCCTAGGGAAGAAAAGGAAACCACTGTTACTTCAGCTGGTCTGTGGCTACCTCCCAGGCCGCCTGTCTCTCTGAAGTCAACACTGATCCTCAGGTACCTCCTTCAAGAAGCCTCCTGTGACCCCCATGCCCCACCTGCCCACATCCACATCCGTACACTCCTTATGAGAACTCAACACGTTGGATTGGACCCACGAGCTAAAGGATGGTGGTCTGTGGCCAACCAAAGCCCGTTGGAGCAAGATGACTATTTTGTTCTGTGACTTAAGAACTTCCATGACTTCCCAGATGTTCGAGATCTACCTGGCACATTTATGACCCTCTTTGTCTTATCTGTTGTGAAGTTGTCATCTGTTAATTCACTTAACCTTGACCTCTCTATACTTTCCTGCCTGCACCGTCAGTCTACCAAGAAGGGTTTATTGAGCGCCACCGGGTTCTCAGACTGCGGGTGGGGCCGAGGAGCCATATGTGTTATCTGCTGATTACCCCGGAGTGCTTGTGACATCGCTCTCACGTTGTGGGCACATTTCTGCTGAGTCTGCTTGGGCTTGTTTCATTTTCCCTATAAGCCTGTGAACTTCTTGAAGGAAAAGTTTTGCTTTCGTATTTCCATATCCCAGGGCTTTCTGTTAACTAATTGAAAGATCGAAGGAGATGCAGTTTTTCTACCTGGGGAAGGGATCCCCAGGGCGACAGCTGTAGAGAAATCATTATTTCTCAAAGTGGAGTCCACAGACTAGCGGTGTCAAATTACGTGGGGCCTTCGTTAAAAGCATGCACATTCCTAGGTCTCAACCCAATTCTACAAACCAGAATCTTTGGGAGTGGGACCTTGGACTCCTCATTTTAATAAGCTTCTACCCCCCAGCTCCCCATCACCCAGACTCGCATGCATAATAAAATTTGGGAACCACTTCACTAAGGAATGGAGGAAACAAAAACAGCTAGAGGCATTGAAGTTAAACAGCAAGAAGAACTTCCGTGAGAAGTGGGAGGAAAGGGTGGAAAGGAAGGCACAGGACACTGGCATCTTCTCTGGAGCTTTCTTGGCTCCCTCGGGTCTGGCCATCGTCAGCCGGCCACTGCAGGGCCCAGCCACATGCCCGTACTCACAGCACTGATCTGGCTCCAGTCCCCCGAGTTTGAAAGCTCCGCCTTCAGCTCCTCATACGATTTGGCGTTCTGCAAAGTAAGTAATAAATTAGGCCTGGGTCTCAGCAGAGGAGATGAAAGACCATTTTCCTTCAGGAGACAAAAGAAGGCTGGCCTAGGGCCTGGTGGTGACAAGGGGAACAGGGAGCTGAGGCAGAGGCTGGAGGAGGGTCCTTAAAAAGGAGCCTGAGTGGTGAGGATGGGCACAGATGGGGCTGACAGGCCAGAAGATCCCCGAGCAGGGGGTTATTTGCCCCTGCTCCGTCCGACATGGGGAGGGAGAGGACCACGGTCTTTTCCCAGCCTCAGGCCAGTGCAAACGGCTACACGCAGCCTTGAGAACCCTGCCTACACTTTGTAGGCTCTGGGGCCTCAGGGGTCCTGGAGAACTGGGGGGCTCCTGTCCGATCCCTGAGGGAAACCCTGCCACAGAGGAATGAAGGGAGTAAAGGGGCTTTGGCTCCAGGAGGACCCCATCTCCGTATCCCCAGGGCCTGGCACCCAGTGTGGCACGTCATGAGCCCCAGCTATGCTGAATGAATGAATGAATGAACAAGTGAGTACTCGAGTCTAGGAGAGAAGCCAGCTCAGGCCTGAGGTGAGGGAAGGGCCACCAGAGTTGGTGACTTGGGACACTGACATGAATTTAAGACGTTCTGGCATCTAGATTCGCAGCCTCGAGATTTGTTTGAATCCGTCCTTGACTAAATTCAGCCCATCGCTCACTGAATTTTTGTTTTCAATGTATTTGAGGCAGTTAATCTAAGCTCTCTGTCTCCCTGAACTCATCAGCTGGGCCAACTTAGCGCGCGCAAAGCCCCTGGCCAGCACCCGTCCCCCTAGCCCTCCTTCCAGCGGAACCCTTCGTGGGGCCCCGTTTTGAGGGCCTGCCCTCCGCTTCTATCTGAGGCCAGTTTAGGAAGCATCCCGTAGGAGCCTGACTCACTGTCACAGGGAAGACCACGGGTATGACCCATTTCACTTAGAATTTAGTGCCAAGAAGACATTTGTCTATCCTTCAGAACCGAGAAGTGTTCTTTCATCTGGCATGAGGATCCACCAACACTGTCCCGTAGATGTTTCTTGGATGACGGAAATGTTTTTTTTTTTCTGTGCTGTCCAATATGGTAGCCACTAGCCATATGTGGCTGTTGAGCACTTAAATTGTGGCTAGTGAGAAACTGAATCTTTAATTTTGTTTAATTTTAATTAATTTAAATTTAAATAGTCAGTATGCCTCTTACCAATAATGTCCAACAGTTTTGAGCTGAATCTAGTGCATAAGCAAGATATTGTAATTAGACTGGGTTTTCGGTAAATGTCCTTCCCTCTCGCTCACTAGGGGCTTAATGGCCTTACTGCAGCCTTACTTTTGATTCTAATCCCCCTCAAATATATCACAATCCCCCTTTAGAAATATATCACAGGCCATCTATCACAACGAGCAGACAAGCCTGGGTGTCCACCCCGTCCTCGGGGTGTGCCATGGAGAAGCCACCTAGAGAAGGATGTGCTGGACCAGGGTGGGCTGGGGCCACTCACGCTCCACTTGAAGGGGTCCCAAGCCAGGAACCAGCCCGTGAAGGTGGGGGGCTCGTATCCCTGCTTCACCACGATGATGGGAGTTTCAAGGTCCCGGCCGCTGGGGTGGGTCTTGAGGTACTCCTGCGCCGTGGTGGCTGCAGCTCTCTTCTCCTCCTCGTTGGCGTACTTCCCAATCCAGAAGAAGACCTGTGGAGGACCCCAGAGCCAGGTCAGTCCTTCCTGTCCTCCTGGCCCACAGGGCTCCACCCTCCACCTCGGTTCACCCGAGGATTGAGGTGGCAGGAAGGGAGGTTCCCAGGCCTCGGTCCTACCTGGTCCCAGACGTCTAGCAGGAACACGTCATCCTCTTCCAGGTCATCCTGACTAAAGTCAGGGACTTCTGTGGCCAAGAAGCGCCCGGTCTGGTTGGAGCATTCAAAGAGCCTGGGCGTGATGGCCAGGTTTTCTTCCTGTAGTCTGCAGGCCGGACAGAAGATTGTGTTGGCAGGAGGAAGGTGCGGGGAAAGGAAAAGCAAGGACACAGGACTCTGAGGGGCTCCGACATGGAAAGCCCATCTCCTGGGAAAATGCTCTCCCTTCAGATTGCACGAGAGGTCTCCCCTCATCCCCAGAGGCCACAAATGCCCCAAGGGCGAAATTCCCACTGCCTTTCCAGGATGTGCATTCCAGTGTCTCTTCTACAGTCCTATTAGGAAGTTCTTCCTGATATCTTCCCTCTATCCCTGCTGCTGCTACTGCAGTCCATGCCTTTTTGCTTCTGAACTGAGGAATAGTGGATCCTGGATCTTCTTTAGAAGAAACATTTAAAGTGGGGTTTACAGCTGGTGATCCTCAGCATCCTGGTCTTGTGTCAGCACCAAAGAGTAGGCACTGGGTGGGCTCTGGCATTTTCTTCCCAAAGGGCAAAACTACAGCCCTGCCTCTCTCTTTGACCTGCCTCCTATGGCCATGAACACCCTTTGCCAGAGAAGCAGCCTCACCAGGCCCCAGGCTCCAGGAGTAGCACCTTGAAAAGCATGGACAGACCCCTGTGCCCAAGATGCTCCGAGGGCATGCACTGCCCCTGATTCGTCTCGTAGCCCTGGGAGCCTGGTGCCCAGCATCCTCAATTCATGCCTGCTGCAAGCTCTGGGTCATGGGGGTGGAGGTGCCGGGGGGCTCTCCGGCCCGGAAGGTGAGCTGGAGCAGAGGGACCCGATAGTTACCTCTTGGTGTTGGCATAGGGGGCCTTCCCGCCCAGGGCTATCCAGAAGTTGGCTGGCTCCTGCCCTTCCACCACCACTTGCTTCTCTGTCCGGGAGATGATGTCAGCCACCGTCTTGGCCATCTCTCGCTCATCCCCACTACAGCCCTGGGAAAAGGGGGGTGTCGGCTGTGCTGGCGAAAACCATCTCTAGTGCCCACCTACCCCACCCTTCTGCCACATTTGCTGGGCCAGAGCTGCCAGGTCTGAGAGAGCGCTCCTAGATCAGGACCCATGCACGTGACCAGGCAGAGACAGTTCTCTCATCTTCTCCTCTGTGCTCCGTGCTCCAAAGAATGCCAGAGGAGACAAAAGGGTCTGCGTGCTCCTTACAGGGCAGGAGAAGGCTCCAAGAGGCTGCATCCTCATTACAGAGATGGCTGGAGAGGCAGTGACAGGCAGCGGGGTGGTGAGTGAGAGCGTAAGACATACAGACAGACCAACCCTGGCACAGACAGGCGTGGGCAGAGACAAACAGAATGAGAGCGACTGACCCAGACACAGAGGCTGAGAGTCTGAGGATGGCCAGACCCAGGGCTGTGGAGGAGGCAGACGGGGCTAGCAAATGAGCGAGTGGGACCTATTCAGCCAAAGGCTCCCTCCCTGACCCAGGTCCACTCTGAGGCTAGGGGAGCCCCAGGACCCGCTTGGGGAAGGGACGCTGCCAGGCCCGGCACACACCTTCCCATACCACAGGTAGCAGCAGGACGGGGTCTTGAGGATGAAGACGTCATTGGAGTTGAGGGACGTGGCCCGGGCTGAGACCTCAAAGGCCTTGGTGTTGCTGGCGCTGGTTCCCCGGACCTGGAACAGCCTTGTGGAGGGCACAGGCTCAGAGTTGTTAGCCCGGGAGGTGCCTCCCTGCAGGGTGCGGGAGAAGGCAAGGAGAGAGAGGCAGAGTGACTTAGCAAGGTTAGAAGACGATGGGGCATTGGAGGGACACAGAGAGCCAGAGAGGAAGAGAGGTTGGGCGGGGTCTGCCTGCCCCTCCAGGTTCTCTGATCCACCATCACCAGACTAGTCTTTCCAAAACGTTGCTTTGGTCATGGCACTCCCCTGCTCAAGAATCTGCTCCGGCTCCCCACTGCTTATAGACTAGAACCCGGGCCTCTGAGGGCCTCACATGACGAAGGTGCCGACCGCCTTTCCAGACTCACTCTGCTCTCGCCAAACCCTCCAGTTTAGCTTCGCCAGTCTCCTCGCTGCTCCCACGGATCCCGTCCTCTGGGCCTTGTCCTTGCTGTGCCCCCTGCATGGCAGGCCCTCATCTCTCCTCCGCTGATGTCTTCAACTCCCACCTCAATGGCAAGACCTCCTCCCAACCCGCTTCCCACTGTGACTCTGTGCCTCCCCCAGATGCTGGAGTCACGCTCCTCCTTGAACTCGACTGGCACTTCCAGCCTTTAACCACACGGTGCCCCGGGCTGTGAGTTCCCTGCTCTGCTGTCAAGACGGTAAACAGTATTAGCCTGGCATTCTTCCCCCGCCTGGCGATCTGCAGAGGGACTGGCTGTGTACTCAGGAGGTGCTCGACAAGCCGATGATGGTTTAAACGAGTGCAGGAGATGTCTATGTCACCGTGTTGGAAGGCACCAGGGCAATTTGGACAGGTCCATCGTTTAGGCAAATCTAGCCAATATAAATAAATTCTTTTTTCATGTAGAGGATCCGAGCGTTGGGTGTAGAGAGAAACAGTACTTGCACATGCTAAGTGCTCCTTACGTGTATTTTTGAAAGTACCGAATGGTTGTTTCTATTGCCAGTTCCACACAGATGATGGAGCCTCAAACAGTCCCATCCTCCGAAGACTGGGCTTCACTCCCAGCCCACACCCCTTCCCCATCTCCAGGCCGCCCACCCCGCCTCACTCGTGGTCACTGACAGGCGCCCCAGTCCCGCAGCCATACCTGGTAGACCACCATGCGTCCCTTGAAGATGGACATGAGGTGAGGTGGCTCCTTGCCCATCGTGACCCGGATCTGAACCGCCTCATCATTGTACTTCCGGTCCAGGATGACAGCTTGATAGGCCGAGGCTGCGATTTCATCCTGGCTGGCCTGGCTGCCCTGTGGACGAGCAGGACCAAAAGGGTGGGATGGGGTCAGCCTCTGATTCTGACCCCATCCCCAGCCTCAGCAACAGCTCCATCCCCAATTCTGACCTGACGCCAAAACCAACTGTCTTCCCCACCAAACCCCACCCTGGACACAGCCAAAAACCCACCCTGACCCGGACCTCAGTTCTTCCCAGCCCCACACTTAATCCTTTCCCAGCCCCCAACCCCGACCCACCTGCACCCCTAGCCTTGACCCTAACCCTTCTGTCCTTCTTACTGCACCTTCCTTGGGGAACACTGTTTCTACCACACCACTCACCCCCAGCACCCAAGCATCTCTCTGCTCCCTCGCATCTGGACACAGAAACCAGAATGTGAAGGGAACGTGCAGGAGGCCATGGGAATTGGAAGGGAAACTCAGAGAGCCAAAAGGGCAAAGGGTTGTGAAAGGCAGTACTCAGTGTCAATGGGATCTCACAGCCAAGGCAGTCCCAAGATGGAACGGGGGTGAGCTCCCCATCACCAGAGATATTCAACTCAAGGGTGATGGCCACTTGGCAGGGGTGTCATGGGAGCTGAGCTGGCTGTGCTCTGGATGGGGTGGGGCGGTGCCTGACCTGCCAGATGTACAGCAGGTAGTGTTTCTTCTCGCTGATGAGATAGGTGTAGAGCAGCAGGTAGCAGTCACCTCCGTAGAAGTGGCCTACCCACTTGGAATCCACAGGCACCAGCTCCACGTTCTCAATGCGCCACACCTGGAGCCAGTAGCAGGCTAGCGTGAGGTCCAGGACAAGCTTTGCCAACCCCTCCCCGACCAGCACAGGCCTCCCTCCCATGACCTTACCTGCACCTCCCCACTCCCGTCATCCACCATCTTCTGCTGGGCAGCCACCTGAGGCTGGACATGCATGGACGTGGCGTCAAACTTCACCTGCTCCACCTTGGCTGGAGTGGGGGAGAATCATGACACCAACTGTCACCAGCTGAGGTCTCCCAGGTCCTCACCACAGCCCTGAGTGGCACTGACAACTCTTAGATCCATTTTACAGATGAGGAAACTGAGGCTACAGAGACCCAGTAGCTTACCCCAGGTCACACAGCTGGAGAGAGGCAGAACTATAATACAGACTGGATCTCCCTGACCCTAAGACTCACGCTTTACCAGGGCCCCCTCAGAGGAGCCAGGAGGGGGACAGCCCTTTTAGCCTTCCCCGGTGCCTTGCGCTGGGCTTGGCCACAGCAGCGCTGTCCAGTGAGAGACTGGAGCTGTTTGGCTCCCGGGGAGACCCAACCCCATTCCAAATGAAAGATTGTTCTCAGCTCCCTTTTTGTGACAACTCTTGAGTTTAGCCCTGTCTCCTGGTGTCCCCACCCCACCTGGGGAGCCCAGAGCCAGGGTAAGCATGCATGGAAGAGGCGTGTCTGGGAAGGAGGACGGGAGGCAGGTCTGGGTGCTCTCCTGGCCTCATTCCTGGCTCCTGCCCCACCCCACCCCGTCCAGGCCAGCCCTTACCCACAGAGCCCACGGTGTAGGTTTTGCCCAGGCCCGAGGTCCGGTTAGGCACTGTCCATTTCTGGAAGAGCTGCTGAAAGATGGCTGACTCGGCCCCGTCATTCTGCACCTCCACCTGCGTGCTCTGTGGGTACTGCTTCGCTTTGATAAAGTTCTGGGAAGAGAAAGGAGGTGGCTGGGACTGGGTCCCTCCCGTAGCTGACACCTCCCAACGTAAGCCAAGGCCTGGCTCTCACTCCAACCAGACCCAACCACAAACCTACCCCTGGTCCCAAGCCCAAACTTGAACCCAACCCAAGACTCAATACTGAGCCCATACCTAAGCCCGCTCTGGCCCCAACCCCAAGGCCAAAAAGACCCCCAACTTGACACCATCTCATTTCTAACCCTGACCCTCAGCCCCCATCTCCAACCTTGAAACCAACCCCCAATCCAACATTGACCCCAAGCCAGTTAGGGTTACTGACTCCAGCCACGACATTGACCCCAAACTCTGACTCAGCCTTGGCCCCAAGCTGACCCTCTTGTAGGAAGGCCATTTCTCCCTCCTGTCTCCCCATTTCTCCTTGCCGTCTCTGAACCAGGCTCGAGTGCAGCGACATGGCCACACGAATCCTGAGGAGGCCCTCTAGCTGACTGGTGGTCGGTTCCCATCACCAGAGAATCCTCAAGAGGGCCACAGACCAGACCCTCAGAACCCCCAGGCGGGTCGGTCCCGGAGCCTTCCCTGGCCTCTGCCTGGTGCATCGCCCGTGTCTGAGCCCGCTTCCTCTCGCTGCTCCATCTCTTTTCCTCCCTGCTCCTCACACTCTCCCGCCTCCCTGACCCCTGTACCCACCAGTGCCTGGCTCATGGCTTCCTTCTTCTCCTCGGCATTGGCGTTCTTGCCCTTCCACACGAAGATCTTCAGGCCCCCCTGGTCCAGGATATAGCAATCCTAGAGGCGCGAGAGAAAGACCCCGGGGGAGAGTCTGGCAGTGCTGGCGGTGCTGTGCTGGGCCCTGTCCCAGCCCCCTGGCATTGTTCTCGCTTCAGGGGACAGTGGGCAGGGAGCAGGGCGCTGGGGCCTACCAGAGCCTCTCACCTCGTGACTGAGCAGGTCTTGTGTGAGTGGCCGGGTGGCGATCTCTCTAACCACCATCTTTCCCTCTGAGTCAGACACGCTGCAGGACGAAGGCACAGCATGGAGAGGAGGGGTCTCGCACCCCTCAGCCAGGGCACCCTGCACCCAGGAAATCCCCCAGCACCAGGTACTCACTGGTATAGCTTGAGGTTGGCCTTGAGTGCCGGTTCCACCACCGTGTCAGGCACAGCGGCCTTCAGCTCCCTGCGCGTGCCCAGCACGTGGTTCATGATCTCCATCAGCTTTGGGGATGCCTTCTCGTTCTCCCCCTCCACCACGCCCACGTAGGTCCGCCCGCCCCGCTCCTGGTCTCGGATCTCCTTGGCCAGGGTCATGCCCTGCAGGGAGGCCCCGGGTGACCCATGACAGTAGGGGACAAGCAGTGTCCATTACCCCAAACCACGTCGGGAGGCCCCAGCCCAGCCCACAGCAGCCCAGAGGGGTGGGCTGCCTGCCTGCTTTTCCCGTTTGATGGGGGGACCAGGCTGCTGGGGTGCATGTGAGGGAACCAGCGAAAGCCCATTGGAAAAGCAGGTCTCCTCGGTGGCGGGGGACTTGGGGGGACCTCTTGGTCCTTCAGTTCTGACATTGTTTGAAATTTATGATTTTACTTAACAGTGTTGGACAATAACTGAGCCCTGAAGATCACAGTACTCAGTCTCTTTGCCCAAGCACCCTTGTGTATATACACACACACACGTGTGCACACAGCCTCATGTGGGCTTGCACACATATGTACAAACACACACACTCAGACAGCACAGTCTCTCACGTCCTCACACGTAGACACCGCCCCTCCCCGGGGGGAGCAGCCGTCTGGAGGCCAGAGCCAGGCAGGACTCTGCCATGTCCATCACCACTGGGTCCCCAACGCTTGGCACAGCATCTGCCACACAGCAGGGACTCGTTAAATCTCAGGAGATTAGCCACAAGGACACACCCGCGAGCTCCAACGTGCACACCTCTTCCTACACACCAGACTCAGAGCCACCTTCAGGCACACCCTCCCCGGCAGGCAGAGGCGTGAGGCCCGGGGAAATGAGGCCGGGGGGGTGTGGCAGAAATCTGGCAAGTTTGACTTGAGGAGAGGCCAGGAGCTGGGCCGCAGGAGCAGCTGGGCACAGGGCGGGCTTGCGGGGAGGGGCGGTGCTGGGCACAGCCTACCCTGAGTCTCTCCATGCGGTTACTCTCCGGCCCGTTCCACTGGATGATAAGCTTCCCCAGGTCCAGGAGGAAGACGTCCCCACGGTTGAAACTCTTCCAGGACATCTCCACCTGGAGAGCCGTGGGAGAAGTGCAGACCCCACTCAGGCCCCGTCCATCATCCATCATCTTCCCCCCGCCCCTTCCCTGCCCCTCACCCCTCCTTGGCCTCTGTCCTCCACCCAGGCTGGGAGGGGGGACAGGAGGCCATGCCCCAGGGCCCCAGCCGATGCCCACCTCTCCGGCCACCACGTTCCTCTTGCCCTTGACGTGCAGCAGCCGCTGGACCTCATAGGAATTGGTCTCCACTTTCTTCATGCCGGAAGACACACCCCCTTTTTGGATCCTGAGAAGAGAGGTGAGCTGAGCCAAGGGAGTGGGCTGGGAGGTGTGACAGTCCCTGTCCTCCCAGACTGTAGGTACCTGGCTGCCACTGGGGCCGTCTGAGGGCAGGGCTGGGATGAGGGTGAGGTGTGTGAGGCCCTCTCCCTCGGGGTCACACAAGTGCAAGGTTGGTCTATTGCCTATCCACACGCCCTTCCTTGCAGTGAGTGCCTCCTTAAAGTCTGCACCTGGACCCCTCACTCTCCTCGCCCTCATCCCTGCCCCATGGAGAGGCAGGCAAAGACAGGAGCATGTGGGAGTAGAAACGAGGAAGACAGGACAGGACTCTGAGGGCAGGATTGAAGCGAAGGACAAGAGGGGAGAAGCCGTGGGCTGAATTGAGACCCCTCCCAAACTCCTATGTTGAAGCCCCCAGCCCCAGTGGGAGGGTATTTAGAGATGGGACCTTTGGGAGGTAATAGATTTGATGACATTTAGATGACGTCATCAGGGTAGGGTCCTCATGGTGGGGTCATTGTCCTAATAAGAAGAGATCTGAGAGAGCTTGCCCAGCCTCTCCACCATGTGAGGACACAGGGAGAAGGTGGCCATCTACAGGCCAGGAAGAGAGCCCTCACCAGCAACTGAATCAGCTGGCACCTTGATCTTGGACTTCCCAACCTCCAGAACTGAGATAATTAACTTCTGTTGTTTAAGACACTCAGTCTATGGTATTTTGTTAGGGCAGCCCAAGCAGACTAAGACAGGAGAGATGGCAGCTCAAATGCCCAAAGGAGTAGACTCCTGCTGTAAGTGTGGGAAGACATAAGGGAGGGGTGGGGACTGTGGCTAACTAGAGAGCTCCTGGCCTGTCCTATAGGTCAGTAGCAACTTGGCCCCTGACTATGTGTTTCCATGGGAAAAGCCCAAAAGCCAGAACTTCAGACTTTTCAGGAAAAGCTGGAAATTGGGGCTTTTAGTGTGAAAGGCGTGCTTTAGAGGACAAAGGAGCAGTGATTTGCCCCTTGGCCAGAGTGGAGACTTAATGTGATGGCCTGGAGAGCCACCTTGGGCACTGAGCTCTCCCTGACACTCAAGTAGGGGGTGACTTGCAAAGATTCATGAGTTACAGAATTTCAGAAAGGCCTCTGGGGACAGCCAAAGACTTACTCAGAGGGATGAAGACCAAGGACAGGGAAGCAGCAGAAATGGGAGTTAGGGAGTGGAACAGTCAAGAAAAATCGCCAAAAGCCCCTCATGGGCTCTCCCCACAGCCTCAGGCTCCCTTCCCAGCCCCAGGTCAGCCCCCAGCCTCGGGTGACCCTGCCCTGCCCTGGGCCCACTCCCCAGCCTGCAGCGCGCCCCTCCGTACACAAGGCCCTGCTTGAAGTAGCCTCGGAAGGCCTCGCTCTCATTGCCCTGGACCTCGCGGTGCTGGACGGCCCGGCCCTTCAGGAAGTCGTCCATCTGCGTGGTGTAGATGGCAGCCGCCCCCTGCTCATCCAGGGACGAGGCCTGGCCGAGCCAGTAGTGGATGTCATAGGACAGGTTGTTGCCGGTCTTGTGGATCTGGGGAGAGGGCGTGTCCAGTTTACACGAGGCCCTGGGCTCCCACAGACCTCTCCCGCCCCTCCCTGCTTTGCATGGTCTCCCACACACGTGGGGACTGGACCACAGGTGAGCCCTGAGTCGTGGCCCCAGCTCTGCCACAGACTCTGAGACGTGGGGCACGTGGCTGCCCCCTGGGTCTTGCTCACCTCATCTTGGAAATAACCTGGTTGGATTATAGCAGTGTTTCTCAAAATGGTGTGCATGGACCCTCAGAGGTCCATGAGGTGGTTGGGTGGGATACAAACAAATGTACATACGAAATGATTATGTAAATATTTTATAGCTACTTTCTGTGTGTGACACGGGACACACTGCTTTCCATTTATGGTAATGGTATAGAGTTAAGTTTTTAAATAAATGGATTTAAATTTTAAAAGTGAGTCAGTATAAGGAAAAATACAAATGCGTTAATACTACAGGATACGGCAAGAACTGAAAAGGTGATGTGAAGATGACCGTGGATTTTGGAAAAGTGGACTCAAGGTAGGGTGACATCCCACCAGCTCGGAAGTCCCCCAAGACTGAAAATCCACAGGTCACCTCAGCCACGAACGCTGAGGCCCCAGGGCAGGGAGAGCCTCTGACATCTCTGACCCTGCAGAGCCACCACCAGGCTGGGTGCCTGGGCACACCCAGTCAATGCCATCCCGGCATGAAGCCAGGCCAGCAGTCCCCACCCATCCCCAGCCTCAAGTTTCTTCCCTGACACTCCAGTGGGCTTTGCTGTCTGCTCAGCTTTCCCCCTGCCCAGCCCCACTCACAGCCAGGACAACGTAGCAGTCGCCCTCGAAGAAGTTGCCGTAAGTGTTGGAAGCAACAGGCACCATCTGCATGGCCTAGGGGGAGAAGGGAGTTCAGAGGGGCTACCCTGGACCACCTAGGACCACCCCCAACCCCAGCTCCCTCCCTCCCTTAACCAAAGGAGAGTTGGAAGAGCAGAGAGCTGGGAGGAGAAGGGCATGAGGAAGCTGGCAAGAAGAATGTGTGTGAGAAGGGGAGGAGGAAAAGGAGCAGGGAGAGGAACGGGGAGGCTGGCGCCTGTGGGCGGGTTACCAGGGCCTCGCACACCGGCAGGGCAGGACTGGAGGACAGAAAGAGTGACCCGAGGCCTCTTCCTTCCCTCGGTCCATCCCAGGACTGCAGAGCCACTCCACACGCAGTCTGGGCCTCACCTCGATCCTCCATATCTGAACCCCGGGGGTGGTGATGTTGAGGGAGCTTTTGACTTGGCTGCTCAGTTTGGTCATGGCGGATGAGCCTAGGGGAGAAGATACAGGAGCAAGGACTGAGGAGCTGGGAGCGCCCTGGGTTTCAGGGGCTGCTCTCCCAGCCCGGCCCTAGGGCACTCCCAACAGTGCCAGGTGGCCAGGGCTCAGGGGCCTGGCCTCTAGCCTTCCCACCCAGCTCTGATCTTGTCACTGTCTTGCTCAAACACCCACTCTGACTCCCTGTCACCAACTGAATAAGCCCCCACTCCTCAGTCCAGCACTCAGGGCCCCTCTTTCTCTAGCCCCAAACAATTTTTCCTTCTGAAAATTTTTTCTCAAAGCCATGCTTGCTTAGAAAAAGAAAAATCATACAGAGGTTTTTAAAAAAAGAGCAACAAAGAATAAATAAGGACTGAAAAGTATATGCACTCAAAAGAATTGAAAAAACAGGTGTTCAAACAAAAACTTGTACATAAAGTTCATAGCAGCCCTATTCACAGCAGCCAAAAGGTGGAAATGACCCAATGTCCATTAACAGATGAGTGGTAAACAAAGGGCAGTATAGCCCGACAATGGAATATTATTCAGCCATAAAAAAAGAACGAAGTATGATTCATGCTACAATGTGGATGAACCCTGAATACATTACGCTCAGTGAAAGAAGCCAGGCACAAAAGACCACGCATTGTATGACTCCATTTATATGAAACATCCAGAATAGGTAAATCCATAGAGATAGCAAACAGATTCGAGATTGTCAGAGGCTGGGAGGAGGGGGAAATGGGGAGTGACAGCTAGTACATGTGGAGTTTCCATTTGGGATGATGAGAAAATCCTGGAACTTGATAGTGGTGATGGTTGCGTAACATTGTGAAGGTGCTGTACGCCGCTGAATTGTACACTTTAAGTAGTTAAAACGGTAAATCTTATGTGTATTTTATCGCAATAAAAAAAAGCGTAGGTAGCAGTTTCCTGTTTCTTCCTAGCTACCCCGAACACCCCTCAATCACTGTTCTGGTGGCCCGCAAGATGTAGACCCAACAAGGATAGAGGCTGTGTTTGTCCAGTACTGAATCCCCAGCATCTAGCGCTGTGACGGCAATTTGCTGAGTGGGTGGGTAGATGGATGGATGGATGGATGGATGGATAAATGGGTGGGTGGGTGGATGGGTGAGTGAGTAGAGGGAGGGAGGGATGGATGGATGGGTGAGTCAGTGAGTGAGTGGATGGATGGATGGATGGATAAATGGGTGGGTGGGTGGATGAGTGAGTGAGTAGAGGGAGGGAGGGATGGATGAATCGATGGGTGAGTCAGTGAGTGAGTGGATGGATGGATGGATGGATGGATAAATGGGTGGGTGGGTGGATGGGTGAGTGAGGGAGGGAGGGATGGATGGATGGATGGATGGGTGAGTCAGTGAGTGAGTGGATGGATGGTGGATGGATGAATAAATGACAGAGCGAACCCTCCCACTGTGAACCACCCTCCACCCACTGCACTGGAGGAAACCTCCCCTCTCCAAGCTTCCCTTATAGTATCTTTTATGGCTCTTACTGTTTTGACCTTTAGCTGTCTTCTCCACTCCAGGAGCTCACCAGAATCACCCAGGGGGCATTTAAACAATACTGATGCCTCCTGCGCAGGCCACATTCCCAGCAATTCTGATTTAATTAGGCCAGGGTGGGGCTGGAGCATAGGTACTTTATTTTCTGCCTTTTCGGAGGTAGGGTGTGGGTGCTTTTAAAACTCCCCAGCAATTCTGATACGAGCCAGAACAGAGAACCACTTGTCCCAATGATTCTCATCCCTGGTTTCCTGCCCCTCCTACCAGGCTGGATGTCACCCCATTCCCCACCGAGCCTACCATGCAGCCTGGCACGGAGCTGCCCTCCATGAACACTCCCTGAGCTGCTGAATAATGAATGAAACGTCCCGTGGCCCCGTGGAGCAGGCCTCCGAGCACTGGCAGCCTGGAATCTTCCTAATCTCTCCTTGCACCTTGACTCTGAGTCACTTCTTGGAACAATGACCTGGCCTTTTACTGCTCCCTCAGCTGAGTCCTGAGGGTGACCTCTCTCCTTGGCATTCTGGAGTTGGGGGCAAAGTCTCCCTGCCCAGCCTCCAATTAGCACCCCCTCAAGCAGACACCAGGGCCACCTGCTCATCACCAGCGCTGGGCTTGTAGGAGTGCCTTGTGTCTGGTCCCGTTGGATGCCCTGTTGGCCATGGCCTCCTCCATGAGGAGTCTCTCAACCCATAGAAACCCCAGGGCTCCCAGAACTCTTGGTTCCATGGAACCAATTTGGTATTTCAATCACTACCTCTGTCTATACTGCCGTTTCTGCAAGACCCCTGGGCACTCAATAGCTGTATGAACATGGACCCTGTTTCTTCATCTCTGAGGTGGGGGTTTGACAAGATGTTCTCTAAAGTCCCACTAGGGACGTACTCTGATGCTAGGAGTGAACAGCAAGAGGAACAGAGGGTAGACAGCAGGAGGTGCTTCTTGCCCATCAGAGAGGAGTTCAGGGGAGCAGAGACTTGAAAAGTCGGTGCTCTATTCCCAGGACAGAAATCAGGATTGGGGACCTCCTGCAGCCTGAACAGGGGAAGGGGAGCCTCTTCTGGGTCAAGGGTGGGCAAGGGAATTCTGGGGAGGGTGGCTCTGAGAGGTGGACACCACGGATACCCACCAACTGCTCCCGCCCCGAACCATGCTGGTCAGAGCAGATGCTTCCAACCCCCAACCCTGGTGGGGTCTCCCCAGCTCTCCTCTCCCTCCTGAACTGCTTGGAGGAACGTGGGCCCTCACTCCCCACGCCACAGACAGCACAACACTGGGTTTGGATGTGCATCGTCTTCTCCCTCAACTTGAATTCACTGCCTCCCCTCCTCTGACCCCTGGTCCCCTCTCTTCTCTGTCCCCAACTCGAGGAAGGGCATCACCACCCCCAGACCCCAAAGTCAGCCATCTGTGCAACACCCTGCACCCTCCCTCTCCTGCCCTTTGTCCACCTGAACATCTCTCCAGTCTGTCCCCTCCCCGACCCCTACCCCTCTGCTCCCACACTGCCTTCTAGTAATGCCAACCGGCTCACTGGCCCTAGCTCCACCCTTTTCTCCCCCTCCCCCTCCGCATCCTTGCTTCTACTGTTCCCTTTACCAAATGCCCTCCCCACCTTTCTTCACTTGGCTAACACATGCTCTTCTAGACTCAATTTAGTTCTCATTTCTTCCAGGAGACCTTCCCAGAATCCTCAGTCTAGACGGGGGCCCTCCCTGAGGGGCCCAAGACATCCTGGAGCGATGCCTCTCTTGGCCCCCTGACCACTTGGTGATGAAAGGATCTGTTTATAAGTCTGAGGTCCCTGAGGCCAAGCACCTAGACGTGCTCATCTACACGGCCCCCAGTTCCTAGCACATGGTAGGTACTCAATAAATATTCATGAAGCTGAAAGACAGACGGTAGAATGGACGGGATGGACCCTCGTGGGGCCCTGGAGGGAGTTAGGGCTCCTGCTCCCCCCAGGTCCCATCTTTCTTTTCTTAATTGCAGTTCTGTGGTCCTACGGGGTCAGGCTCCAGAGAGCCTTGGGGTCATTGTCACTGTCACTGCTTTTAGTCCCCAGTCATGCAGTTCTGAGCTGGACAGGGATGTGGCAGTCCCTGAAACAAAGGACACCCTCCTGCTTCCTCAGAGCAGAGAGAGTGGACACTCCCCAGCCCCCAACCTGCAGACTCTGCCCCTCGCCGACCTGAGAATGCCTGAGCAGGCTTCCTGGGAAGGGGGCAGTCAGAGTGTCTCAAGATCCTGGTCTGGACTTGGCTCCCACCTCCCCTACCTGCCCCCTCTATTTCAGCTGGATGGGGCCACAGTGGCTGGTGAGGCCGAGGGGACGGGTCCTGGGGGAAGAGAGATGGGCAGAGATGCACGCCGCCACCAGGCCCTGCCTTTGCCCATTCAGTCCCTGACAGCTGTGGCCCACACCCTGGGATCCCAGAGACCAGTGCCCCAAGGTGCCAGGAGTGTCAGGGGAATGGTGACACAAAGAAAGAAACCATTTCAGATGAAGAAGAAATGGGCAAAAAGATGGGGTAGGGGGATGGGAGGGAAAAGGTCAGGCTGACCAACTAGTCCCGGTTTGCCCAGGACTGTCAGGTTTGAAATCTAGAAGTCCAGTGTTTCCAGATTCTCCTCAATCCAAGGCAATCCAGGTGGTTGACACCTGAAGGAGGGTCGGGGCTGGGGGCAGGTGATGGTCTGAGGAAGCAGTTGTCTGGGGTGGAGCCTGCACAGTTCTTTCCTTGGAGGCCCAGGAAGCCGCGCTGGGCTCCCTGCTCTCCGGACTCCAGGGTGCAGGGTCTCTCCCTCACATCTGCTTCAAGGTGCTGCAGGAGGCCCCAGGCTGCCAGCAAGAAGCAGGGACCCTGTCCTGTCCCCTCCCACCACTGATGGGCCCTGTGTGTCCCCGCACGCTGGCCTTACCTGTCTGGGAGAGGCAGCTGCCACCTGGGAGATCTCAGGGAGTTGTGGCAAGCTGGCTGCTCAAGAGAGTGACCTTTGTCCCCGCCCCCCCTCCTCTAGGAACTGCCTTCACCATATAAGGGAAGATAGGGCCCCAGAGAGAGAGAGAGAATGGGTGAGGGGGTGGGGAAGCAGGTGCCCGCCAGGTCCCTTGGAGACCGGAGCCCAGCAACAGCCTGGCAGCCAGAGCCGATGGGCCCCACCCTTGGCTCTCGAGTGAGCTCCCAGGGATGGGGTGCCCTCACTGCAGGTGGACAGCCTGCCAGGGAAGGTAGGCGCCTGGACCTTTCCTCCTCCCAACCCAGAAGAAGCTCAGCCATCCTCCCTCCTTCCCTGGGGGAATGGCTGCTGGGACCCCTCCAGGACAGATGGGGCCCTGGCACCCCTAGAGGTCTCTTCTACTTGGCATGACGCTCGCTCAGAGTCGGCATAAGTGCTCTTCTCATTCCCCACTTCAGGGGCACTGGCTCCACTTGGAGTTTTTATGAGCTGCCATAAACTGGTGCCTTTGGACTCTGCTCTGCCACTCTATCCCAGACGCCAAGGCTTCCATTCTCACCCCTGGTCCTAGGGGGCCCCTCTCAGGCCGAGGAAGGAGTGTAGCCCTCTCAGGGCTCGGTCTCCCTCAGAAGGTGGCTTTGCCCACAAACTCAGCACCTTGGGCAGCTGTCCCCAACCTCTACCCTGCTCTCCGGTCCCCTCCGAACCATGGTCCTCTGGAGGGTCAGGTGAAGCGGGCTGGACAAGGGCAGCTCCTCCTCCTGACCACACTTCCAAGCGTTCTGGAGACCAAATGCGTGAGTGTGCACACGTGTGCATGTGCGTGCCTGTGTGTGCGTGTGAGTGTGCTCATGCACAGTCTGCCAAGAGGAGTAGACACACCGGAGTTATTTTGTTTTTAAAAATAACACCCTTTTTTGTGAAGAAAAAGAAGTATATATTCACTTGATCATCCAGACAGGCAAAAAGAAAAGAAAAAACTCATCTACGATTCCATTACAGAGGTAATCTACAGATGGTTTATTTTGGAGTATTTCTTTCAAGTCATTGTTCAGTCCACATGCTGTGCGTGTGTCCTATACGTATATAATCATCTGTCTATCTACACACACATACTTTTTACTTTTATATGTTATTTTGCAACTTCATTTTAATCGTCTCAAGGCAATCCATTAGATAGCATCGTTTATATAACTAATAGCTCATTATCAGACTTCCAAATTATATCCAACTATTTAATACTGCAAAGAATGTGGTGGTGAGTATTCCTATTGCTAACCTTGGCCGTTAGGTTGCAGCCATTTTTACTTCTGTAGGATAAACTCCTAAAAGTGGGATTGCTGGCTCAGAGATGTAAATAGCAAATTGCCTCCCAGAAGAGTCGCGTTAATTTATAGTGCCAGCTGCAGCCCAAGAAGAGACTGCCCTGTCTCCACTCTGCCCGCACTGGGCTCCAGCTTTTAAGGAAATCTGTCAGTTTGAATGTTGAAAAGAAAATCGTTATTGTGTTGATTTATAGCTCTTTGATTACCAGCAAGATAGACCATTTAAAAACAAAATTATTGGCTATGTCTTCTTTTGTGGGAGTTTTTAATTAATTTGTTGGACTTGTTTCTATATTTCACGTATTGAGGTTGGTAAGCTGCCTGTCATTTATGACATACTTTTCTCCATTTCATTGCTTGTCTTTTAATTTAGCCTCAGGATTTTGGGGGACAACATGTTTTTAAAAATTATTTCAATTTCTTTATAATGATAAATGTCAAACATATAGAAAAGTAAAAATAATAGTGCAATAGCATAATAAACACCCATGACTCAAGGATCAACATTTGCCCTATCTACCTGTATATATTTAGAAGTAAGTTGCAGATATCATGATACTTCAGCCCAAAATATTTAACTTATCACACATCTCCTACGAATGAGGACATTCTCCTTCATAATTGTAAAACGATTTTCACACCTGAGAATATTAACAATTATTTCTAATATCTTCTTCTTTTCAGTCCAATTTCCCCAGTTGTCCCCAGGAGGACTTTAACACCTGTTTTCCTTTTTTTTTCTTTTTTTTTTTTGTTGAGGAAGATCAGCCCTGAGCTAACATCTGCTGCCAATCCTCCTCTTTTTGCTGAGGAAGACTGGCCCTGAACTAACATCTGTGCCCATCTTCCTCTACTTCCTCTACCGCTGTGCCACTGGGCCGACCCCTAACAGCTGGTTTTACTGATTCTTGGTCAAATCAAGATCATGCATTTCCTTTGATTGTTGCATCACTTCAGTATTTTTTAAATCTAGAACAGTCCCCTGGCTTTTTTCTGTGACCTTGACCTACCTGAGCCAAGAACAGTTGTGTTATATGATGTTCACATTGGGATTTTTTTTTTTTTTTTAAAGATTTTATTTTTTTCCTTTTTCTCCCCAAAGCCCCCCAGTACATAGTTGTATATTTCTCGTTGTGGGTTCCTCTAGTTTTGGTATGTGGGACGCTGCCTCAGCGTGGTCTGATGAGCAGTGCCATGTCCGCGCCCAGGATTCGAACCAACGAAACACTGGGCCGCCTGCAGCGGAGCGCGTGAACTTAACCACTCGGCCACGGGGCCAGGCCCCACATTGGGATTTTTGAAGTCTTTCTTTGTGTATTACTTAATTTGTTCCTCTTCCTCCTATTTTTCCCACAAACTGAAAGTACCTCTAATGGCTTGATTAGATTCTGATTAAACAAATTTTTTCAAGAATTTTTGAAAAAGGCTAGTGTTTCTCAACCTCTAATATCGTGACTCACTTGGGAACCTATTTAAAATGCAGATGCTGATCCAGTAGGTCTGGGCTGGGGCTTGTGACTCTGCATTACTAGCAAGCTCCCAGCGGGTGCTGACGTGCTGGTCCACGGACCACACTTTGAGTAGCATGTCGAAGGTGTTACTGTGTACTTCACATTGCATGGCATCGGGAGGTAGACAATGTCAAGCTGTCCCAGCATGAGTGATGCAAAGTTTGAGCCCTTGGTTATGGTAGTGACTGCCAGATAGCCCCACCATAAAGGCACATCTCCCCTTCTGCAATTAGAAGTCATCTTGGGGTGATCTTGGGGCAATTAGAAGTCATCTTGGGGCACTGGCAACACGAAAGTTTTTAAGTCTTTATTTACCACTTTCAACTTCTCCTTTTGTAATATTCCTTTCGTAATTACTTTTATAACCTCTGTTTTTCCCACACTGTGCGTTTGGCTTGCTGCCGGACGCTAGTGCCTGAAACAGAGCGGGCATGTGATGACCATTCAAAGGAATGACATGGAATTTGTGATTTGTGCCTTTGATATTGAAAGCCGACTCTGTGTTTTTAATTTGAAACTGATTTTTATTTAAAACAATTAATAAATGTGCCTGGTAAAATAATTCAAAAATACAAACAGATGTGTAATAAAATGTGTCCCTCCCATCTTAGACGACTCCTATCCAGTCCCCCAGCCCCGCTCCCTGTGATTAGCCATGATCCCCACTTCTTGTGGACCCTACTGAACTATACAGAAGTATATATGTAGGGGCCCGCCCTGTGTAGTGCTTGGGTTCAGTGTGCTCTGCTTTGGCAGCCTGGGTTCGTGGGTTCAGATCCTACATTACTTGTTGGTCATGCTGTGGCAGCAACCCACGTGCAAAGTAAAGGAAGATTGGCATGGAGGCGAGCTCAGGGTGAATCTTCCTCAGCAAAAAAATGAAAAGTATACACTTATATCTGTGTCTACTTTATATTCCCCCTAGAGGGAATACGCCATCACTCTAGTTATGAATCTTGCTTTGTTTCATTTACTGGTCTATGTTCCACCTCATCACTTTTCATGACTGCATGGCATTCTTTGCTATAGACATAGCAGCATCTATTTAACCAGTCCCTTCTTGGTGGACACTTAGGTTATTTCAAGTGTTTTGCGATTACAAAGAAGGAGGCAATTAACACCCACCCACATACGAGGTTATATGTATATACATTTTATCTACAGCGTAAATCCCTAAAAGTGGAATTGCTAGACAAAAGGTGTCTGCATTTTAAAAATATTTTTGATAGATATTGTCAAATCACTCTTCAAAGAGGTTGTACCAGTTTACACTCCCGCCGGCAAGGTTGCATGAGGTGCTTCTAATACACTCCTTCTGCTGTGTGTGTGTGTGTGTGACACAAGTAAACAGTGACTACCTGCCCCATACAGGCCTGGTCAGAGACCTTTTCACAGCTGACATCTCCAAAGCCAGAAGTCAGACTGCCTCCCTCCCTCCCCTCCACCCCAACCCCAGGGGCCAACCAGCCACAGCTTCCGGCTGGGCTGGCCGAGTTTGTCTCCTATCTCACTTCCATCCCTTCTTCCTTCTGCCTTCTCTCTGCCTCCACCCCAGTTCAGGTCTTCATCCTCCATCTCCGAGTCTACGGCTCTGGTCTCCCCATAGGATCTCATGTCCCCATACCCCTGATTTCGTTTCCAACGTGCAGCTGCCAGCTTTGAGCACATCTCTCTCCTGTTCGCTATCCTCTAGTCTCCCTAAGCGGCACCCACAGCTCGCGAGAAAAAGCCCACGCCCTGGGTCTGGCTATGCATCCGCATTATCTGGCTTCTCCTGCTTTCTACAGCATCATTTCCCCTTTCCCGCCTTGTGTGCAATTCCAAAATTGCTATCATTGCCCACTCCCCGGGCTGTGACTGGCCCCTGACGCTCTGGCGTCCTTTCCTGATGAACCCACCCGCTCAGGTCACCTTCACCTGAATCCCTCTTCCTTCCCAAACTCCTCAGAGCCTCCACCCCACAGGAAGCATTTTCCAATCCCTTCACGGCTGTCCCAGGGGGTCAGGTGTCCTCTGCGCTCCCGCCTTCTGTGTAATCACCAGGTTTTAGACAGTCTGTCGGGTGTCTTTCTCCACACTAGAGTGAGTTCCTTGAGAGCAGAGACGCGGCGTAGTCATGGCATGTCCCCGGGGCCTGGCACCATGCCTGGCACACGGGAAGCACCATACGTGTGGTTGAGTTGAACTCTGTGGGCAAAGGATGTGTGGGTAGCCGTGGTGTGGAAAGGCTGACTGCGGTCTCATTCACAGCCGGAGCCCTGCTGACTGCGTGCCTGGGCCTCTGGGATGCAAATCTGGGGGAACCAGTGTTTGCATGGAGAGCAGGAAATCGAGCAGGACCCCGAGGAGGAGGGGGAGGGGGAGAGGGAGGGGAAGGAGGGCAGAGGCAGGCAGACCTGAGTATCTACCCTGAGAAGGCTGGGCTCCACCTCAGACTGGGGCTGACGGAGCTGAGTGTGGGCACCGCGGGTCTCTCTTCCCAATCGGCGGTTCCCCGGCGCTCTGCTACCAGGGAAAAGTTGGGGCGGGGGCGGGGGGAGTATCATATACACTACAAGCTCCCTCGGAGACTTGGGGGGCAGCTCAGCACCTGGGGCACCATGAGGCAGGCTTGAGGCTGGATTCACAAGGTAAGGGGATGAGAGTGTGGGAGGAAGAAGGAAGGTGGAGCTGGGGGGACAGGGACCAACCTTTGGGAAGGGCAGGTCTTCCTTCGCCCCAGTGTGTGTTGGGAGAGCAAAGGCTGCCCACCCCCGGCAGAGGGGTGAACGATGCTGGCCCTCATCTCTCCAGCCCCCGAGGCGGGGGAGGGGGCCGGGGGCGTGTGCCCCACGGCAGGCGGGGCGGGCCGGCTCTAGGGAGCCCGGGCGTCTGCGAGGACAGAGAGGCCTCTAGTGGCCACCGCGGGAATCAGGAGAGGGCGGGCCGGGAGGTCACTTCCTGCCCGGGCCTGGGGCTGCCCAGTTTTGCAAAGGAAGTGCTGCCAGGCCCGGAGGGGCGGGGGCAGGAAGTGGGCCGGAGGCTCCTGCGAGGGCGCGGCCAGTGGGTACCCAGAGGCCGCGGGGGGTGGGGGGGACGGTGGTGGCAGGGAACGAGACCGCGCGCCCGGCCCCACCCGGTCTCCCCAGAGCCCCCGAACTTCAGCCCGCAGCCCCTCAGCCTCGTTCAGTTCCCGGGTTTGCCGCTGAACTGAGCTTCCGCGGAACTCGGCCTGCTCCCCACCTCCCCGCTCTGGGGCCCCACCAGCCCCTCCCCGCTCCGCTCCAGGGCAGAAACCACACCCCTCCCGTCTCCAAATACCTTCCAGGGGCCTCCCCTAGGGACTCAGCTCAGCTGTGCTTTAGAGCTAATATTACTGAGTCCTCCGTGTGCGAGCACTTAGTCAATTCTGCAAAGAGGGCGTAGCTCCATTTTGCAGATCTGATAACTGAGGCCAAGAGGTAGGATCATTAAATAGTACAGCCCGATGCACTCAGCTCTACTCAAAGCTGTGGTTAACCGTGCACATTCACACTTGCAGGCCCCTCCTACTAACATCCCCCTCCCTCCAAAGGGTTTGTCGAAGAGGGGTGTGGCTGCATGGGACACAAATTGCTCCCTCCACTTCAACCTCCGCCAATAACCACAGAGGCACTATAAGGGATCTGGCTTTCTCTTTAGTTCTCATCACACTGTGGGGCTCTCAGTGACAGAGAAGGCACTTAAAACAGGAAGGTCACCCGAATCAGGCCAACCTTGTCCTCCCTCCCACCCACAGCTGGGGGAGGGAGGGGAATGACAACTCCACTTGCCATCCCCCTTGGCACTAGTATGTGGGTCCCCTAGGGGGACGGTCCCCAACCGTCAGGCCCTGGGAAGAGACCCAAGGCCTTGACCTCCAGACTCAGCATTCGGGGGAGGGGTTCCAGATAAAGGAGTCAGAGCTGGAAGGCAAATGTCCTGGGAGCTGCCCCCAGCCAGCAGGGGGCGAGGCAGGGGGCTGCAATGGGTGGGTTGGCACAGGGGAGGGGGGACACCTTGGCCAGGCTTCCTAGAGACCCCCCAAATCCCACAAAAGGGTCCCACCTCCTGCAGATCCCCTGAAGGCACTGGTGAAGTATGGGCTGGGTGGAGGAGGCACGATCAGGTGGTGCAGAGACCCCCACACACTCAGCTGGTGGGCCTACCACAGTGCTGGCCACAGAGAAGGTGCTCAATCGTGTTTGGAATTAACGAATGGAGCGAAGTGTGTGTGTGAGGGACAGAGGACAGGGCCTGGGGCCCCTTGGCCCAGCTTGTTTCATTCAGAAATTAGCAGTTTAAAAAAAGGTAAAAATCCTTTCCAACTCTCCCCCCAATTTATGGGCCCAGGAAAGGGGTGAGGGAGGGGTGTATCTAGCCCAACCCTTCCCTCTTTAAAAATCTATATACACATATACATATTTATATGGCACCGAGAAGAGGTCCTACCTGTGCCCCTGCATGTGGAACTGGGGGAGCCAAGCCCCAGGGCCCTGGGGTGGTCAAGGCAGACGTGAGGGGGTCTCGGGTGAGCTGGGGAGCAGCCCTCAGCTACTGCTGAGCCCAGAGAAGCTGGAACCTGGGGTCCTGAAGGACAGACCCTGCTGCCTTCACAAGTGGTGACAGCTCTTGTCCCCTCCCCCCGCCGTCCGCCTAGGCAGAGGAGCGGGGGCTGTGTCAGCCCCAAGGGAGGAGGTGAGAAGACTGGTTCCTTCCCCATGAGGCTAGACTGCAGCGACCTGGAGACTGTTCCAGAGCTGAAACGATCGTGGCCCCAGCCCGGGAAAACCAGGCCAGAAAGAGGGCTCTACGCAAGGCACTTGTGTCCACTGTTCCCAGGCTGGCGGTCCAAGGCGAGGGGCAGCGGGAAGCCGGCCCCTCCCCCAGGCAGAACCGGAAAGGGCCAAGGGGCCCAATTTGGCAGCAGAGAAACATGGCAGCACAGAAAGAGAGAGAGAGGAAGGGGAAGTGGCACGCAGGACCCCACAGGTCCCCTGAGAAAGAGGAGGATCTAAGGCACTGACACGGGGACCCGGGGGCTCATGGCCCTCGGTGCAGCCTGCTGCCCCCTTCGAGGCCTGGCCAGGCTGGTGGGGGGGGGGGGGCGCCCACTTCCCCATGGCACTGAGGTGGTGGTGGCGGCGGCCGCTGGGCTTTCTTAGGGAAAAGTCCGCGTGTGAGGGGTGTGGGTGGCAGTCAGGGGCAGGTCCTGGCCCCAGGGCACCTCACTAGCTGCCGGGCCGTGGCTGCCTGAGCACTGAGTACACGTCGTCCACGCGGCTGAGCTGCTCGAAGAATGGCAGGAGATCGTGGAGCTCCGTGTCACTCATGTTGTCAAACCACGAGGCCACTGGTACCTGGGGAGATGGGTGAAGGGCGGTGAGGGGAGCAGGTGGCCCTGCTTGGGTGCAGGAATGGGCTGACCCCCCGCTTGGGTGTGGGGCACTCACGGCGTTGTCGGGATGGAAGACGTATGAGGCGGGAGAGTTGTCCAGGATGAGCACCCGCCGGAGGTCTCGGCCCAGCCGGCTCAGGTCCTTCACGTAGTTGCCCCGGTGGAAGACGCAGGACTCCCGAAACAGCCGCGCCCGGAAGGCCCCCCACTTGTCCAGCAGGTCGGCGACCGGGTCTGCATACTGGGGCGGGGGGGGGGGGGTGGGGGGGGGGGGAAGGTGGGTCATCCAGGGCCAGGGCGTCCCTCCAGCCCCGTGCTGGAGGCGGATGGGAGGCTGGGCTCCCGGGGCCCTGGCGGGATGGGGCTCACCTTGGCCAGGCTGGCGGTGAACAGCACACACTCGAAGAGCTCGCCCATCCGCTGCAGGAACTCATCGACGTGGGGCCGCTTCAGCACATAGACCTGGGGGGCGGGCTGGTGAGGGGCTGCTGGCTGCAGGCCGGGTGACGTGGGGTGGGGTGGGGTGGCTGAGGGCTGGGAGGGAGCCGGTGGAAGAGGCAGAAGAGCACAGGACCGGGGCTGGTCCCATGGCCTTCGGGCTCTGCTACGGAAGCCACCACCCCCCTGGTGGGAGAGGATCAAAATGAACCTGGACTCCTGGCTTCGGGCCCTACCTCACGGGAATCAATTCTCAGTTCCTTCCCCACCATGGCCTCAGCCAAGTGTAGGGACCTGGGGGACCGCCCCCTCACCCCAAGGCTGCAGGGCACCGGTCCCCGAGCCAAGTAATGGAGAACAGGCTGGACAGCACACAACCTATCCTGAATTACTTGAACTGGGTCCCGGGCAGGGTGGGGCAAGGGGGCGCTGAGGAGGAACCCCACTTCCTACAGGCCTTAGAGCAGGGCCAAGTCCCTGAGGATCTGTGTAACCTCGGGCAAGTCTCACACCCTCTCTGAGCCTCTAACATTCCACATCTAAAATCCCAGCTGGGGCTCTCAGGATTGGTGGGAAGAGCCTGGGGTCTGGAAGGCAATGCCAAGCCCACCGCCTCCCGGGATCCTGGCCCCTCACCTGGTGGACCACCCCATCAATCTCCACGGGGATGATGAAGTCGGCATTGTTCACTGGCTGTAGGGGGAAAAGGGCGGCTGGAGCTGGGGCAGGGCCTGCAGAGCCCACCCTCCCAGGCCAGGACAGGCCCCCTGGGAAACTGGGCTAGGGGCTGCTGGGCAGGGCCCACCTTGAAGGAGCTGTGCACCAGGGTCTCGTCCAGGTCGATGACCACGCAGATCTTGTCCGAGTCCTGGGCCTTGGCCTCGGGAAGCAGGTACTGGACTGGGGTCTGCTGTGGGGACACGTGGGGCTGGCTGAGGGTGCCTATCTCAAGCCCCAGTCACTTCTCCTACACAAGTCTGCCCTCCCCCAGCCTTCTACCTGGGGGGCCACAAGGATGGTGACAGAGGCCACCCCCCCTCCCCCAGCTCTGCCCCTGCCCGCTCTGCTGCCGGGCTCTCCAGGCCTCACTTCCCCACCAAGGGAAACCAAGGCGGGGGAAAAGCCCCCACTGAGAAGGGGAATTCAGACTTTCCTTGGCTGGGGGGTACCCAGGGGTCTTGGGGGGCTCATGGCCTGGCTGGGCGATGCCGCGGAGGGGTCGGTGGGGGGGGCTTCACCCTCCTCAGTACCTTCCAGAGCCTGCAGGCGTGTCATGTAAAGCCCCTTTCCCTAACCCCCTCCGGGCTGAGGCCAGGTGTCCCCGCAGCCCCCACCTGGCCGCCACGCACCTTGGGGACGGCTCCGTTCTCCTCCACGAGCAGGGGCGCCCCACTGTGGGCCGGCAGGGCCTCCCCGTCATCGCGGCAGACGCAGCAGAAGAGTGAGTGGAAGATGCCCCGGCTCCGGGGCTTCTGAGAAGCCGCTGACTTCTGGTCACCTGGAGCGGGGAGGACCAGGGTGGGGGCGTGCACAGCAGCCGGCGGAGGCGCGCACAGGTGCCCCCTGCGAACCCCCGCGCTGACACGGTGTGGCCTGGCCGTCCCACCTCATCGCGGGAGACAAGCTGAGGAGGCTCAGACCCTCCTGAGGGTGTTGGCTCCAGGCCACCCCTCTGCTCCCCACAAGTCGTCCTAGTGGGCGCACAAAAGTACCCATGTTAGGCGTGGATTGGCTGGAAGGAGTATAGCGATGGTGCTTTCTCTTTTCCTAGGCTCCGTCGTTGCGGAGGAGTCAGTCCCCCTGGGGGCCCCTCCTGAACCCCCTTACCTGGGCGGCCCCAGCTTAGTTGCGCCCCTGCCAAGGAGGCCCGGAGCCTGGGGCCCTGCGGCCCGCTCCCGCCCTCCTTCCATCCTCTCCGCCCCCGTGGGACCAAAGTCCTCCCTGAAACTGGGCCCAGAGGAAGGCAGTGGGGACCTGGGGCCAGTGTCCGGCGGCCATCTGCCGGCCCCGCCTCCTCCGCCCCCGCCCCGCCCAGACCTCCAACCTAGAGCCTGGCGTCCGCCGGCTGATTGACGGGCCCACCCTCCAGCCGCCCCCTGCCCCCGGGAGAAGCTAGGCTCCGGCCAGAGGTGGGCAGACCTGGAGGGACATCCTAGCCTCTGAAACCAACACCGGGAGGGGAGGGGCAGCCCCCCAGCCCAGCCCCGCCAGCCCCGGGGCGCCGGGCCGAGGTGGGCGGCGGGGCTTCCCAGGTCGGTGCGTGTGTGCGCACGTCCCCACCCGACACCCGCATCTCCCCGCGGGCGCGCAGGCGACCCTTAGAAGTGGGTGCCCTCTTGGTGCCTCTGAGGTGCCCGGCGCCTCCAACGCGTGACGCGGAAGTTTGTAAGGAACGTGGCTATGTGTTGGCGGGAGATCCTTCCAACCCTCCCCAGCTCGCTGTCACCTCGGCGCCCCCTCCTGCGACCCGACCAGCCCGCGGCCCAGAGGGGGCGGAGTCTCAGCGGGTGGCCCGAAGGCGCCCTCTCCGACCCCCCCTCCCAGCCCCATTGGCGCCAATGGGGGGGAGGGGGCGACTCTCGGGCACCGCTCACTGCCAGTCCGGGAGACCCGGAAGGAGCGCCCTCTCTACCCCTGCCTCAGTTTCCCCACCTCGAACAGACACGAGCGCCCGAAAGGCGCCAGGCCCCGCCCCGCGTCTCCGAGCCTCCCCAAGTTCAAACTCTCACCCCGCTCGCTCTCTGGCTGGAGCTTCGGGCCCCACCAAGGCGGGCGCGCGGGGCTGCGGCGGCGGTAGCCCCGGGGAGGGTCCCGGCCCTGTCCTCGGCCCTCCCGCGGCGCCCGGGCTGCGGCCCCCTCCGCCCGCCCCTGTACCTTTGCCCCGTAGCGGGCTCCGCGCCTCCTCCTTGCTGATCTGAGTAATGACTGCCGAGCTGTCCATGGGGCCGGGCGCGCTCCGCTCCGGCCGGACTCTGGCCCGGGTGCCCGGCCTCCCCCCCGGCTCGGGCCGGAATCGGGGCGCGGGGGGGAGGGGAGGGGTGGGAGGGAGGGATCCCCGCGAGCTTCAGAGGGGAGGGGAGCCAGGTTCTTAGGGGGAGGGGGAGGGAGGGGGTGCGGAGGAAACTTTGTTACAACATGGAGTTTCCTCCCCGCGAGGCGGATGCAAACATGGAACCCGGGCGCCGTTTCAAGGCTCCCCCTTAAAAGGGCAACGGCTTCGGCGTGACCTGGACTCGGCCGCGGCTTTCATCACTTCTGGGGCCGGCGCGGCTCGGCGGGCGGGGAGGCGGGCCCCGCCGGGTTCC